AGAAAAAGGGAAAAGAGAGATGGGCAGAAAGAGAGCAAAATCTCCTGAGATACAACTCCGGTGGTCGGCCCAACTTCCCAAGTAGACCTGTTAACTCTGCCCTTGCCTGAGTTCAGATGGATTGCTCTCCTGCTGCTTCCTCCAGCACTGAACCCCCCCCCACCTCCCTGTACAGCCTCCCAGGGTCTACCTTGAAACCTTACCTGAGCTGAGAGTCCCCACGGGGGTCCCCCTGTCTCGGCACCCTGTCCTCTCACACTGCTGCTTCTCACACGTGCCTGCCTCAGTGGTGGCTTAGCAGCCCCCGGGCTGCAGGTACCAAGGTCCCATTTCAAAGTGAGATGACTTGGTCAGCTGCCCTCTGTTCTAAGACCTTCGGTGGCTCCCAGGCCAACAGGAAAAGGGCTGGACGGCATGGTCCGGCATTCAGTGCCACCCCACATAGTTCCAATCCATCCCAGCCACTGTTCCTCCACACTTGCCTACAGGAATGGTCACCATCCTTCTGGGCTGGCCTCCCTTGATAGCTCGTGAGCTAGGTGAGGGCAGGAGCTTCATCTATTTTGTCACTATATCCCCAGGGCTTAGCCCAGGTCTGCACCTAGCGGGCTGTCAGCAAATGTTCACCAAAAGGCCTGAACTGTTTTGATGAAAAGTGGTGCTACTATAATGCCCATTTCCTTCCTTCCTTCCTTCCTTCCTTCCTTCCTTCCTTCCTTCCTTCCTTCCTTCCTTCCTTCCTTCCTTCCTTCCTTCCTTCCTTCCTTCCTTCCTTTTGTTCTTTCGTTCTTTCTTTCTTTCACAGAGTCTCACACTGTTGCCTGGGCTAGAATGCTGTGGCGTCAGCCTAGCTCATAACAGCGTCAAACTCCTGGGCTCAAGTGATCCTCCTGCCTCAGCCTCCCGAGTAGCTGGGACTACAGGCATGCGCCACCATGCCTGGCTAATTTTTTCTACATATTTTTAGTTGGTCAATTAATTTCATTCTGTTTTTAGTAGAGACGGACGGGGTCTTGCTCTTGCTCAGGTTGGTTTCGAACTCCTGATCTTGAGCGATCTACCCGCCTTGGCCTACCAGAGTGCTAGGATTACAGGCGTGAGCCACTACGCCCGGCCCATTTTCATTTTTAAAATTAGGATTTTCTTTTCTTATATTTTAGAGGCGGTATTTCTTGGTGTTTCCCAGGCTGGAGTGCAGTGGCTAGTCACAGGAGCAAACTACAGCCTCCAGCTCCTGGGCTGTAGCTATCCTCCTATCTCAGCCTCTGATGGGACTATAGGCACATGCCACCTCACCCAGCTCATGCCCATTTTCCAGATAAGTGAACTGAGGCCCAGCGATAGTGATTTGATTAAAGTCACATCAAGGATTCTGACCCTGCCTGTGCACTCGCTGGGCGTCTGCCCCCTTTCTGATCTCTCTTTCACCCACCTCCTCTGCCTGGGCCCAGAGCCCTTCCATTCCTCTGTCACTCAGGCTCAGCTCCAGGACCAAGGCAGGGCAGGCCCCCCCACCCCTGGCAAGTCTCCGGTGGCTGCTGTGATCCAGCGTGCCAGCAAGGCTGCAGGGATGGGTTCTTTAGAGAACAGGAACACACCTGCCCTTTCATGTGGCTGAACAAGATTAAACAGGCCAATTTTAGGCCACGAACCTCAAGTTCCTGGAATGAGCTTGAACTGACACAGCATTTGAGAGGCCTGGCCTGGGAATTCGGGCCCATGTACAATCACAGACTTGCTATGTGACCGTGAGCAAGGAGGAGCTCAGATTTGCTGAGCCTCAACTTCCACATCTGTGCAATGGGCACGGGAATATCCACCTCATGGCGTCGTTGGGAGGATTAAACATCAGCCGGCATGGGAGGGCCTCCCATAAACTACAAAGCCACTAATGAAGCGTGAGGGGAGGTTTTGCCCTGTGGGCTCGGCAGTGGCCTAGTCCAGAGGCTGGGAGCAGTGGGGGAAGGACAGACGTTGCAGAGGCCCAGGCCCAGGTTTTTCTGGTTAGGGTGTGTGCAAGGGGGCTGAGAAAGGAGCTCATGAAGGAAGGTGGGGCCTCTGTGGGGAGTTGCTGGGGATCCCAGAAGAGCTGCTGAGTTGCTGTTGTCTTTATTCTTCCTTTTTAATTGTTTTAAAGAAGTCTTAAAGACTTTTTTCTGCTTACAAAAGCAGCACATGCTCATTGTGTAAAGTTCAAACAACATGAAACTATACAGTGTAGGGGGCAGCCAGTTTCCCATGTTCATGCTCCCCAGATGTAACCGCTGTTCACATTTTGGTGTATATTCTTCCAGAATTTTCTTTGGATAAACACATGTCTATTTACTAATTAGAGAAGCATGTTCCTTGAAGACAACGCAAGTCAGAACTGTATAATAACATGCACTTCCTCCCATCACCCCTCTCAAAACTAACTACTAGTAACAGCTTCGCAGGTATATGCTTGCGTGATTTATTTGCATTTGTATTCACAAGTATATAAATGGAGAAATGGGGGAGTGGTCATGATTATAGACACAAAGGCCACAACTGCCAGGGTACAAGTCCCGTCCCAAGGATCACCAGCTGGGTGACTGTGGATAACTTTCTTAACCTCTCTGAGCCTTTTTTTTTTTCCCCCTGGAAGATGGGAATCATGATAGCACCTTCCTCAATGTGGCTGGGAAAATTAAATGAGATAAAGTATTCTGAGCTCGGTGGGATGTCTGGCTCTGCAGGGATTAGCTATTGGTATAGACCCACATGCAGTCTGTTCCACCCAATGAAAACGGGATCATACTGTGCACATTATCCTGTTTGGCTTGGAGGCAGAATTATATGGAAAGATTAGTCATAGGGATCCTGAAATTTATGCTGGAGATGAGAAGTCTTGCTTTCACATTCAGAGAATTGGTTGCGCAAGTGTAGGATGGGAGAAGCCTAGATTTCGCAAGCTGAATCACGGCCACCTCTGCAACGCAGCTGCAGCCCAGCTCGCGTCAACAGATGCTGAGTTTTCAAAACAGGGAGGTGATGGGGTTTCTATGGCCCTGCCGCCCGGCCCCAGCGGCTCCTGTCCTCAACCTGAGGTTCCCCCACTGTGTGAACATCAACTACCTACGTGGTACTTTCTACCTTGAAATGTCTGAAGCTACTCCCTCCCGAGTTTCAGTCCCCGCCTCCCTCAAACCCCCTTTGTCTTCCAATTTCCCCAGTCTCAGTGAGGGCACCAAAATTTGCCACTTACTTAAGCCAGACCCAGGGAGGCTGGGGGACACTGCTTTCTGGCTTTTCCTTCCCTCCCACGCCAGATCCCATCCTCTGGGTCTTCCCCCCCACACCCCCACCCATCGCACACCTGCCTCCATCCTGGCACCTGTAGTGCATTTGCTTCTCTCCACGGGCCCATGGTGTGGCATTTAGGGACATGTGTGAAACTGTTACCGCTTCTACAGGTGTGTTCAGAAATGGCCTCATCCCTGGATTTCTGCAGGTGGAGTGCAGGATCTCATATTCATGTGCATGTGACAGAGTTTATTCCCACAGCATGGGAGTTCTCTGGTCACTTTGTTCTCTGCCCTGTCCTCTGCGGCATCAGCTCGGAGAGTCACCCCGTCCATGCTTGCTGCATCGCATGGAGGTGAATAAAGAGGTTGTGCCTTTGGTCAGATGTTTGCCATTATTCCTGTCCACCCCCAACCCTGAGACCCCAGGAATCTTGAGCTACAGTGGGTAATGCGTGTGTGGGAGTCAAGAAGCCCCATCTGACCTGGCGATCCATTCTCTAGGGGTGTGGAATGGGAATTCTAGTTTTTTGGGTTTTTTTGAGACAGAGTCTCACTCTGTTTCCCAGGCTAGAGTGCCATGGTGTCAGCCTAGCTCACAGCAACCTCAAACTCCTGGGCTCAAGTGATCCTCCTGCCTCAGCCTCCCCAGTAGCTGGGACATGTGCCAGACATGTGCCACCATGCCCAGCTAATTTTTTATATGTATTTTCAGTTGGCCAATTAATTTCTTTCTGTTTTTAGTAGAGACGGGTCTCACTCTTGCTCAGGCTGGTTTTGAACTCCTGATCTTGAGCGATCCGCCCACCTCGGCATCCCAGAGTGCTAGGATCACAGGCGTGAGCCACCGTGCCTGGCCTGGAATGGTAGTTCTGGAAGGAACCATGGCAACGACAAGGACAATGAGCTTCGAGAAGGCCCTGGTGTCTGGCTGGGTCCTGTTTCAAAGCTGAAAAAGAATGGGGTGTGATGGCTGGGGGCTGGTGCAGTGGGGCGCAGGGGGGTGCAGTGGACGGCCGTGGAGCACCCAGTCCCGTCTCTTCCGCTCCCTCCCTGGGCCCCAGGTGGCTGGTGCCTTTGTGGACTCTCAGGCTCCTCAGCAGGGAAGTGCGGCCACCTAGGCCTTCTCAGCTCCTTCCGGCTGCTCAGGAGAGACGCCGCCAGGAGGCCCTTGTATCTGGGAGAGGTGGTTTATCAGTGGGTGGGTGAGTTTTTTTCTCAACATGTGGCGGGAGTTTGGAGGATCACACCAGGGCAGGATACGTATGCTAGAAGTGTCCTCACGTGTTGGCCGTGATGCCTGTGGTCCAGCGAAAGCTGGGTGGCGTTGCAGAGCCCGGCCAATGTCCAGAGTTCGCTAGGAATCCAAACACCTGCCTGAGGTGTGAACTGGCCTCAGATTTCAGGCTCTGTCTTTCCTATCTGACCTGGGCAGTCACACCTTGGGGACGGACAGCGGGGTTTGCTACCTGGCTAGACCCCAGTGCTCCTCCACCCCACCCCCAGCCTGGAAGATCACTCTCCCTCCCCTAACCCTCCACAGCAGGGGGGCGCCCCCAGACAGGGCAGCTTCTGGGGCTTGTGACTGGCTGGCTGTGGGCCCTGCACGCCACCTGTGTGGCCTCTGGCAGTGCCTGGACATGGCAGCGCTTGGGCTTCCCCCAGCCGGGCTGTCTCCTTCTCTCTCACCTTCTCCTCCCCCCACCCCGTGTTCCCAGAAAGAAACAGGACAGAAGCCAAGGTCCGGGACTTTATTATAGCCACCAAGCACTGGGGAGCCCAGCTGGGTCTCACTAAAGGCTTGTGTTCCTCTTCCCCAGGGACAGCCATCAGGGGACAGCTCCGCCAGGGCCAGGCCATGTGGGCGTGGGGGCTAAAGACATAAACACAGACGAGATTTGACTCCAGCCTCCCCACTTCCTACCCCGTGTGGCCTCGGCCGTCTCTCACCCTCCCTCAGCCCTGGCTGAAGAGTAGAACCCGCGGCTGGGCTGTGGTGAGGCCTGGGTGGGCGATGCTCGGGCGTTAGCCCGGTGCCCGGCGACCCGCAGAGACGAGTGGGAGCCGGGAGTGTGAGCATGAGCAGATCTGGGTTCTCTGCGTGGATGAGAGGGAAGGAGTCTCGTTCCAGAAATGTTTTTTCAATGTGGCCCGTGAGGAAGACAGCCTGGGACCCCTGTGGGGACTGCCTGGTCCCCGGGAGTGTGGGGCTGAGACCCCAGAACGAGGGTCCCGGGGCCAGGACACCTGCTACCATCTCCACCAACTCCGTGAAATGCACTAGCAAGAGTTTGGCGAAAGTTCTCGTTTGGCGCCTGGACCACTTAGGCCTTTCGTCGTTCAGTCAGGTGGCATTCCCTGTATACTAATGTAGTCAGCGAGGTCGGCTTTCTTATTTTTCATTTTTGTAGTCTTTACTTTTGGCAAAAAAAAAAAAAAAAAAAAAAAATTGCCATGGGCCACTGAACTTGAAATTCATCCGAGCCTTTTGCTATCTGGGTGACCCTGGGCTGGTCATTTGACCTGCGGGAGCCTCACCAACCTCACTGACCTAAGGAGGAGTTTTGAGGAGGAAGTAGCACGTGGAAGTGAAGCGAGACGTGATGGGTGTGACAAGGGAGAGGTCCTGCGCTCTCACTGGCGCGAAAGGGACGGGAAAGCAAAGGGAATCTCGGTGCACGCGCGTGCATGCACGCGTGTGCACGTGTGTCTGCGCGCGCACGTGCGCGCGCACGTGCAGGAAGACTCCCATCTGAGTCCCGCATCCCTCCGCAAGACGAGCGCGGATCCCTGCGGGCGGAGCCGGGCGGCCCCCGGGCGGGCGGAGGCGCCACTAGAGGGAGCCCCGAGCTTTTGTCTTCATCGCGGCGAAAATTTTTCCATTTCTCCCTGGCTGTGCTCCAAATACAGACTAAGACTTAATGGTTTTCAGTTTATCTGATTTAATACACTTTTAAAATAAATTCACGTGCGTTTAGTAGTTTATCGATAACGTGGACACGAGACTGCAGCCCTTGCTGCGGGCTGGGAAGTGGGGCTGGGCCGGTGCAGACGAGGAGCACGCGCCTCCCGCGTCCCGGTTCGCCCCGCTCCGCCGAGCGGCTCTGGGGACATCTCCCGAGAGCGCGGCAGAGAAGTGCCCGCATCCAGCCTCACAGGGGCGTTACGAAATGGACGCAATGGGAAGAAAAGCAACGTCAAGGTCGCAAGCGTGTCCCCCAAGCCCTCTTACCTCCAGGGCGCGGCCTTCTCCGGGCGCCGCGCGCGCTGCGGCCGCGACTCCGGTGGGAAGGAGGTGAATCCGGCTGTTAAACCATGACCTCAAGAACAGTATTTCCAGGAATCCCCATCTTAGCATCTAAGGGATTCCTGGGAAAACTGGACCGTGAGGACAAGGTGGGAGAGAGTGGCCTTCAGCAGCAAGGCCTGCCACGTCCCCAAGGACCAGCTGGAGTTTTCTTCTGCGTCCGGCCCCGTCTGCGGCCCCCAAGCGCGGGGCGCCCGGGATCGCAGGATGTGAGCAGTGACTGGAGCTTCAAGTGCCCCGGGAAGTCCCTTCTCTGTAGTCAAAGGCCGGACTTTGATGACACTGTCCGCCAGAAACCATGTGGTGCCCCGGGCCCCGGGGGCCGGTCGGCTGCTGGGGGGTCGCGTGTGTTCCCGAGTCTCCAGCGGGAGGGTGAATTTAAACCAACCGTCCATTTCCCGGTCTCCGCTTGGCAACTTCCTCACCGACCGCCTCTAGCAAGTCACTTAACCTCTGAGCCTTTGCTTTCCTTAACTGCAAAATGGAACAGTAGGAGAGGTGAGAGAAAGGAGATTTTGGGGAGGAGCGTAGGAGGAAGGGAGCCCGTAGGATTAATGGCAAGTGTTTGGGTCTGTCTTCACTAAAAGTGCCCTGAGATGAAAAGATAAGATTAGAGCTGGGTCCATAATCCCAGGCAATGGGTAAGAACTCGGGGATCTAGAGGCAGGTAGATTAGGGTACAAGCCCAGCTCAGCATAATAATGTGTGACCTTGGGCAATCTGCTTAACTGAGCCTCTGTTTTTCTCATCTGTAAAATGGGCCTGGAACACTGCCCACCTCCCAAGCTTGTAGAGAGGTTAAATAAAATTGTGCTTATCCCAGTGGCTCTCCTCTGCTGTTCATCGCTTGTCTGAAGCCTCCATCAGACACTTGTGAGATGCTGGTACTGGTTTTGGCAGTAGCCCAGAGCCAAGGTCAAGAGCACAGAGAGTGAAGACCTTGACTCAAAGTCTAGGACTTTTGTCTTTAGGGCGGAAAGGGTGTTTTTAGGAATTGTCTGAACCACAGATGCTGCATGAGTCTCAGCTCTGAATCATTAACGGTGGCTGCCCAGGGCTTGTTGTGGAGAAGGATCTGAAGCTGCATCCGAACACTTCAGGAATGAACATCTGGATGGATTGGCAGTGTCTGCCTGGTGCTCAGAAAGGGAAAGTGAGGCAGGGTGTTGGGCAGTGGTCCAGCACCTCCCATTAAGGATGGGCTGGGCACGCCGGGCTGCACATCAGAGCCAGGACATGCCCAGAACCTTGAAGCAGGTCACGGCATGGCTAGGACTGGACTCTAGCAATTTCCCCAGCACCACGAGTGGCTGCCAGTGTGGATTCTGGAAACACTCCTCCGGTTTCCTGGTACCCCCGCCCACCCTCGACTTACCGCTTCCATGCTGGTGGCTGCAGAACAACTTCTCCCTTCCCGAGCTACAGTGCTTCATCTCAGACTCCCAACTGACCAGAGATGCAGCACTGCACCTCAGGCTGGGAGACAGGGCGCTGCGCTCTCCGCTCTGGCGGCCGTGGCGGGACAGGGCGTTACAGGGGACCTGGCCCTGCCCCTCCAGCTCCTCCCCAGACTGTGGTGACTGCCCCCAGCTGCGTCTCCTGTCTGTGGCCCGCCACTCAAGCCCTCTGGGACCAAACCTTGACCTTTATTGTTTTCTTTTCAACAGCTTGATTTAGATAGAATCCACCCATCTAACACGAACACGCAAATGGTTTTTAATACATTCGCAAAGTTGTGCAAGCGTTGCCACAATTAACTTTAGAGTATTTCGCCACCCCCCAAAAGAAGCCCCTTATCCTTAGCCAAACCCCAGCTCTGGGCAGATTGCCTCCTGTCTCTACAGAGCTGCCTGTTCTGGACGTTTCAATAAACGGAATCAGCCAGTGTGTTGACCTGCCTCGCTGACCTCTGCCCCGCCTTTATGCCTGGTGCAGCCCAGCCGAACAGCACCACGCGTGCTCCTTGATATTTTAGATCCTCAAACAACTGTCCACGTCTCCCTTCTTCCACGCCTCCCCTCTTCCCACCTATTCTCCCAGAGTGATTTTTTTTTATTTTCACTATCAGCCCTGCCTATGGATTTTTGTTTGTTTTTTATTTTCACAGAGTGATTTTTTAAAATGTAAATATGATCATATCTTTTCCCAGTGTAAAATCCTGAAAGGGCTGCCTGCTGACCTCGGGCTAGATTCTGAAGCCCTTTCAGAAGCCTGAGGCCTGCAGGGCCTGCCCCCCTCCACCCAGGGCCTCTTCCTTGTGGGTCCTGGCCCTCCAGGGAGCCCCACGCCCCCCACCCCAGGCTCCAGAGGAGCTATGCCACTCCCCTGCCACCCTGCCTCTCTCCTCTTGGAGTGCTTAGTCTCCTCTACATCTCTGCTCAAGTGACCGGGCTGGGAGGCCGTCTCTGACTTCCGCAGACAGCGGGGCACCCTGCTCCGCGTTCTCACTCATCCTGTGCCCTCTTTCTGACCCTTTACCACACTGGCGACAGCATTGTCACTGATGACACCTCCACATGTGGACTATATGGCCCAGCCATGAGGAAAGGGACCTGTCAACCATACTCACCACTGAAGTCAGGGCCAGCTGGTGTAGATGACAAATAAGCATTGGTCACATGGTGGAATCATACTTCCTTGGTCCCATTATCTCTAGCACGAGAACTATTTGTGCGTGGGTCTGACCTGGCTAAATCTCTGGGTCCCTGAGGACAGTGCCCTCGTCCTGTTAATTTGGGGGATGCTGGGTCTTGCTGATGGCTTTGTATATGATGATGGACCCTAGGGAATGCCATTTGGTAGCTGACTGAATGACCTTGTAGGTAATTCACTTTCTTCTCTTGGCTTGATTGGGTGGGAGCTTCCAGGTGAGCAGGCAAAGGCCCTTCCCCCTCCTCCTGTCCCCTCCAAGATCTCAGGGAACCTCAGAGGACCTTCCCACTTTGCTTAGTGGTCACTGCGGTGGCCTTGATGCCGCATGACATGTATTTTCAGGGGCATCTGAAGCGGGCAGGCAGCCTTTCTTCAAAGCTGGCGGGAATCTGAAATCACGCTCCAATCCTGGAAGAGTGGGAAGAGTGTTTCCCTCTGCTCTGTCACTTACGGGAGGTCAGTTCTGACAGCCGAAGGGGACAGTCCCTTCCTGAGGAGGCATCCTTAGCCAAAGAGCTGCCTCCCTCTTACTTGGAATTCTCTCGCAGGGACTCTTTTCAATCTGCGTTTGGCTAGGGAGTGATTCCTTCATTGGGACTCACGGGGAGGTGGGGTGGGGTCACAGCGAGCCTGCCCGCTCCGCTCTCCACTGGGCCCTGGGAAAGAGAGTTCTCAGCCCGACCCACACGCGGCCTCGGTAAGAAGCCGGGGAGGCTTATCCTGAAACCCTGGTTGCTAAGCCCTTTCACCGAAACTGCCTTTGGCTTCCTGAGCGCTGCAGGTGGGGTGCGTGTATTTTACGGGCTCGCGGCCTCAGCCCTGACGCACCTGGGAACAGTGTGTGTCAGGTCGTTGTCTGTCAGTTGCTGTCAGTCTTTCCCCTCACCAGGGGAAGAAAGCCTCCGGTTGGTGCCATTCTGTCTCTGACACTTTCTAGCTCCTGCTTATCACCCGGCTGGGGCCTTGCAAGCCACAGCATCAGGTTAAAGTGTGACTATGCTGTTTCATTTTTAGTGTATTTACTGTTACCTTTATCTCCTAAGTATGAACAATGTTATAGTTTCCCATTTACAGTAGCCTTTTCTATTTAAGTATTAAAAAGGACTCACCTTACATTTAAAAATATTGTGATCATATGCAGATAAGGCAAAAGTAAAAAAGAGGGCACCTGAATGACTGAGCTTGGGAAACAGTGTCCGCTCGAATTAATCTTGAGGACAGCTAGGGAGGCGGGAATGTCATGGCTCCTACGTGGAAGATCAGGAAGGGGAGGGGACTGTTCCAGGGTCACAGAACAGGAACCAGGGAGGGCCATCTCCACCATGTGCCATGGGTTAAGAATACTGCAGCAAAGGTAGCATCTCTCCTGGCTTTAGAGGCAGGAACTAGATGGGAGGCACGCTTCTCCAGGAGAAACTGAGGCAGAAATACAGTTGAGATGCAGCCTTTGACCGGGTAATGTATATGCCTCCTTCTCCTCTGTGGCCCTCGAGTCTGGCCCAGGCCTAGCTATAGGCTGCCTCGTTCTGTTCCTTGTGTGTCTAGAATAATCATAATGGTGATGACTGCAATGAGAATGGCGACTTATGCTACGTTTTAATTGTGCCGGTCCTTGTGTGTCCACAAAGATCCACGGGAAGGGAGTTTTCCCAGCACACAGAGTTAGGAACCAAGCTGGGGTTCCTAACTCAGAACAGCCAGCCCAGGACCCTCATTTTAACCTCTGTGTCTCGTCCCCCGATCACTTTACCGGTCCTCTGGTTTGGGGACAAGGCCTAATCATTTCACCTGCTCATTCACCAAGCCGAGTGCCCCTCGCATGTGCTGAGGGGAGACGGGACTGGACCTGACGGGGTCCTTGCCCTAGAGGAGCACAGGCAGGCCGAGGCAGAAGGAAAATGCCCCTGGCGGGGTAGACAGAGGGTGGACCCAAGTGGGATTAGAGACAGCCCGAGAAAGGACAGCCTAGCGCTAGAGGACAAGGAGGTTCCCACCCTTGGGGGCAGCTGAGAAGGCTGCCTGGAGGAGGGGGTAGTGTGCCGGGCTGGGAGGGGGCTGGCGCTTCTCCTGGGATTCCGGGCCCAGGAACTCTGCCTCTCAGTGGTGCATTTGCAGGGCACACAGACATGCTCGTCCCAACCCCTGTCCCCTTCGCAGGAGGGCCTGCCAGAGGACAGAGGTCTATGGTGCTCGTATTCCACTCACCTCGAGAAAGCCTCCTTCACGCTCGGGCTCTCCGGTCAGGAGACGAAGGAGGCCGCCCTGGAGTCTTGGGCTCTACTTCTTACCGGGCTTTCTCCTTCCTGCAACTGTGTCCTCTTCTGCAAGAGGAGACAGTTGGCCCAGGTGGCCTCCGAATCTTACCTGGTGGCCCCGTGCTGGCTGTGGGCAGCTTGGGGACTGCTCCCCGGCAGACAGACTGTTTCTGCCTCTGGGCTCCCTGTGTCTTCAGGAAATGTCATCGGCCTGCGGGGAACCTCTGTCTTCTGTCGGGAAGCTCTGGGGCGGCCGGGGAGGAGAAAATAAACAGTGGCTGTCTGGGTTTTCTCGCCAGGCCTGAGCCAGGAGGCCTCCCTGGGCTCCTTCCTTATATGGCCTGGCCGCCCTGGGCTGGGAGCCCACGCTCCCCCACCCTCCACCTCACTCACAGCGCTGGGGCCGCCCTGTCGCCTGGACCCCGCTGCTGCAGAGACTAGGGCCGGGCAGAAGGTCTCCTGTCCTGGCCCCTGGGCTGCAGGGGGACGATCTGCGATCTGTGCTGGGATGAGGGACGGGGAGGGAAGAGGCGCACCCAGAGAGGAGGGCTCACCAAGTACGCCGTGTGACCCTGGCCAAGCCTTTCCCTCTTTGGGTCTCTGTTCCTCCTGCTGTCAAACGAGGGTGTGGAAAATAATAGTTCATTCTCACAGTCGGCCCTACGAGGTGGGCACTTTTGTGTCGCCATTTTGCAGAAGGGCAAACAGGCTTGGGGATGCCACGCAATTTGACCACAGCTGTCTCGTGAAAGGGAACGAGGCAGGGTGTGCACTCGGGCTGTCTGACGCCGGGGCCTGGGTTCTGGGTGGGCTGGTCGCTAACGCTCCTCGCGGTGGTAACTTTCAATCAGTTCCATGTGCCTTTTCTGGGAGGGGATCCGGCCGGAGCTGCTGCCCTGGAAGACCAAGGCGCCCCAGTATCCAGTGACCCAGCCCGAAGGAGTAGGGGCTCTAAGTCATTCACCTTGGGGTCCCCAGCACGTCACAGAGGGCCTGGCACAGACTCGGGGCTCGGGAAGTGGTGTTGTGACATCACCGAGTGACTAAGCCTCAGTAGTCACATCTGTCTCCTGGGCGCGACCCCCTAACTCCCAGGCACATTCTGAGGATGACACAAAACGATGGATGGGGAAGCACTGAGACATCACCTTTAAGATGGCATTGTCTTTCTGTTCACAGGTTCCTTTTCCCTCTAATGTGCCCACCTGTGTCTCATCCCCGGGCCGATGTCTCCTGAGCTGAGCGCTCCCTGCTCGGCCCAGCTGCGGGACTGAGCGATGAAGGGTGGGGGCTGGGCTCTGGCCGGAGCCTTAGGCTGGGCCCAAGTCCCAGCCCGGCAGCAGTGGCCATGGAGAGGCTGCGGGAGGGGAGGGCGCCGGGGGAGGCGGGGGTTGCTGGGAACGGCTCAGAAATGTGCCTCACACAAGCACTAACATCCTGTGCGCTCTTGAGCGAGCCCCGAACCTCCCTCACCCCATCCATCATCGTGGCATCCTCTCAGACCCCAGCCCCCTTCCTGGAGCCTCGGGCGGGGTGAGGGGGCCGAGGACGGACTGTCAGCGTGGCCGAGAGACCGCAGCTGGCGGCTCTGCAGGCCTGCTTAGTGTCGGAGCCGGACAGCCGGGGGGAGGAGGTGCCTGCAGCCCTGCTAATCCAATTTGTTTGGACCCGGTCTCCGTGGCTCATGTGCTGGAGAGCGGGGACCGGCTGGGTGCTGTGCCGAGGTGCACGTTTGCACACATGTGTGGGGCGTGTGGGGCGGACAGGTGGGCCTCGTTATGTAAGACAGGCCTGGGCCTTGCTCCACGCCCCTGCGTGTCAGCTCCTTCCTGGAGCCCTGCCTCCTTCCCCGTCCCTCCGCTCACCTCCAGACCGTCCTCCGCTCTTTCCATCCACGTGAGACCTGTGCCAGATTCCCCTTTGCCCCTGACTGTGCGACTGCAAGGGAGCTCCTTCACCTCCCTGGCCTCAGTTTCTCTACTCCGCCCTGCCTGCAGCACCGTGAGCGTGCACGTGTCTTTAACAGTGGGCAAGTGTGGGGAGAACATGATGAACGGTACTAACTGCTCCTGTTGTCTTGAGCTTCGCTGTGTGCCATGTGCTGTGCACCAGGACACAGGCCCCATGTCGCCAAGCCCCCCAGGGCCTTACGACCACCAGGCTCAGAGAGGCTGAGTGACTTGTCTGAGGTCACACAGCCCAGGTCTTCCTGCTTCTAGAGCCTGGCCCTACTTACTCCTTCCCAGGGAAGGTTACATTCCCCACACTGTCCCCAGGTTCCCTGTTCACCAGATCACATGCGTCCTCTGCCGTGTGCAGGGGGGATGGGCGGGCTGCACTCTTGGCTGCTGGTGGGTTTTCCCTTCTTTGGTTTCACTGCTTGTCACCTGTGGCCCGGACCCCAGAGCCTGGGAGTGCCTGCACTCCCGCCAGTCAGCGGGGCCTTCCTTTGACCAGCGCCTGGCTTCTTGGTCCTTCTGCGGGTTGGGGTGGGGAGTTTAAGCCGAGGGACCCAGGTTACCCTGGGAGCTGCCTGCAGGTGGGGTGGGCAGCGGTGTGGGTGTAGGGGATGGGGGGTGGTGCTCACAGTTCTGCTTCCAGGGCTGCTGCTTGCTGTCCTGTGTCCCCCGGAGGCTCCCTCACTGGGGTTCTTGCTTCTCTGCCATCAGGACGGTACGGAAGGCTCCTGCCAGCCGGCGCCCGGCCTGAAAGGAACAAAGGTCCACCTGTCAGGAGGGTGCTGGGGTGCCCTACGGCCACAGCCCTGGCCTTTGAGGGGTTCTCGCCCGGCTGCTGGGGACTGAAGATGGGCCTGGGCCACTGCTGAGTACTCATAAACCTCAGACTGAACCTACTGAGAGCATCCAGGCCCCAAAGGGCCTTCCCGTTGGACCCTAGGCCACCATTAACCCTGCTTTGCCTGCCCAGCTTCCAAAGGGGACCTCCTGAGAAGCACCAAGGAGGAAGGCACCTTCCCGTCCCTGCATGTCCAGGCCCCATTGGCAGAACTGGTCTGGAAGGAATTTTCCAGAGGCACCTCTGACCAATGGCCCCAGCCTCCAGCCTCACAAGACAGGAGCCATTTAGGGTTAGATTGAAATCTGGGCTAACATGGTGACCAAGCCCAAAGGGATAGCCAGTGCACGCCTATGACCTCTTCCAGCTGCACAAGGCCTTCAGCCTGCAAAATGCTCCCTCCCATGACTCCAGGGACACTCACAGACATGCCAGAGGTAGGAATAATTCTCCCCCTTGCTGAGATTCAAGGAGGATGTGCAATGTGCCCCAGGGCATTTGCTGGCCGGTGTCAGGGGCAGACTTGAACCCAGGCTGTTCACGCTCAGCCTGGCTGTCCCCCTAGCCTGGGCCGGGGAGGCTGGATAATACTGAGACAAAGCTCACATCACCACGGTTATTGCAAAAGCCCCTGTGCCCTCTCTGGCCTGGCTCATTTCCAGGAAACAGGGGCTGGGAATGGGCCACATCTGTGAGCCAGAGAGCTGCGGCCAGAGCTCCAAGCAAGTCACAAACCCATGCTCACGCCCGGCTCTTTCCAGAAGGACTCCTTTTCCTACAGCCCCCACCCCCTTCCTTAGCTCACTTACACATGTGCACTTATTACAGCCTCTGCCCTCCTTGGGTCCCAGGGCCCTGGGGTTCCTGCCATGTGCTTGGAAAGAAGAGAAGACGCAGGTCCTGGAGTGCTGCAGACCTGCCTTTGAATTCTGCCTCTAGTACTCACTAGCTGTGTGATCTACAGCCAGCGTCTTCACCTCTCTGAGCCTGTTTCTGACCTCACAGGCTTGTTTGTGGGTCAAATGAGGTAGATGTCTAGGGCAAGCACAAGTCCAGGCGCACAGTAAGCTCATAATAGATGGCTGCAAATTCCATTATTAGCCATGGCAGGCAGAGCAGAGGCAAGCAGGAGGAGGGCAAAGGCCATCCAGAGAAGAGGTGGGGGCTGTGGGGGCCACCGTGCGGGCCCTTTCCACGTCCCCTCTGTTGCACGGCTGCCTGGGCCCCCGTTCCCAGAGTGCCCTCCCGCCCCCGCGACACCCCGCCGAGTTCACCAGCCTCACACGCTCCCCACTTCCTCCCCAGGGAAGGTCCCTCCTGGGACTTCCGAGCAAGCCCTGGGAACGCAGTCTGAGGCTGAAACAAGAGCAATGCAGGGAAAAGGGAAGAGAGGGAAGGAAAAGGGGCCCAGACCTGCCTGGCCTAGAATCCGAAGCCTTGTACCCTGGAGGGCAGGGGGCAGACCAGGGTCCCAGGACTCCCCATCACCTGGCCTTCCAGGGAGAGCAGGAACCGGGGGAGAGGGACGGTGGAAAGAGCTGTCACCTATCTGGCTGACTGCGTACCAGGCCGGCTGGGACGTGCCACCATCCTATCAGTAGTCAACGTATCCTCGGGTGACACCGGCTTTCTCATCTGACCCCCAGTCACTTACACGTTAGGTGCCCTTCTTATCCCCTCTGTGGCCCCAGGGGTCACAGCCCCCGCGCAAGGTCACACAGCTAGCAAGCCTCGGGATCAGGATTGGCCCCAGGCAGCCTGACGTGGGCTTTCCCAGCTCCCCTGCGAGACCGGTCTGTTCATCCAGGCACCATTCTTACGCAGTGACAACCAGACTCGGTGTCTCGGGGCATCTTCCAGGTGTGGTTCGTCCTCGTGGAGCGGGCTCGCGAACAGAGGGAGCGTTCTCAGTGAAAGCGGAGACCCTGGGTCCTGGCAAGGGCCAGGTCGCCAGAAGCAAGGGGGCTCCTCATTTTGGTTGTTCTGCCTCTTTCCCGCGGCATTTCTCCCTTTTGTGCTGTCATTGTTAAAAAGCCACACACGCCACGTGGAGTCTGTTCTCCCTTCTGTCCCGTCTGCTTTGCGAAGAACGGGGCCTCCAGGGTTCCAGGGGCTTTGCTGGGTAATGTCAATGTTGGTTTCTGTTGGACTGTGTTGGATGGGAAGAGCAGCAGGCTGGGCACTAGGTCTCCCGCACATACGCTGTGTGACTGTGGACAAGGGTCTTGCCCTCTCTGGGCCTCAAGGGCCCACATTTGCATGGTGCGGTGGGGAATGGACTGGCCTGGCCTGCATGGTGTCTGGGGTGCTCCTATGTCTGACCCTACCCCGTCCCCCAGGTGGGAGTGTGAGTGTGAAGGAAGGGGAAAGGCCTGCACGGATCTCGGTGGGGCGAGAGGGGAATTGGTGCATCAAGGGGTGAGGACGGAGCTCCCCCATGGCCTCCACTGCCCTGCCCCTCCCCAGTCCTCATTGCTCAGCCCAGAGCGGGCCCCAGGGACTGGACCTGGGGGGATTTTCTGCGCCAGGACTTGAAGTCTTGGAACATCGGTGCTGGAAGCACCTAGCCTTGCGCCCATTGTTCAGATGGGGAAACTGAGACGTGGAGAGGAGAAGCAACAAACTCAAAGTGATGCACCCAGTCAGAGGCCCAGCTGGGGTCCCAGCAGACGCCCCGACCTCTTCTGCTCACTCGGGGATCATAGTCGGCCGGAGAGCAACACAAGGGGCCCCGGAGGAAGGTGGGAATGAAGAGAACCTTTAAGTTCCTTTGGCTTTGAAGATGGAATAACCATGACTTCCTTCTCCAAATATCTTTTGGCCCTTCCTAGAACCAGATGGCGGATGTTTGGATTTTATGTTGTAAATAGTTTAAGAAGGGGCGGGGGCGCAGATGTGTTACTTTCTCCAACCACCAGAAAGAGATCCGAGATCCGAGGGAGGGAAGTGGGGGAGGGAAGCGGACTATGAAAAGATTCTGGGAGAAGCTGAGAAGTGAGGGGGAAGGAATAGGCAAGAGATGTGCGGTGGGAGGAGAGTGAGAGAAACGGGCAAGAGGGATGGAGGGAGGGTAGGAGCAGCGGGAGAGGAAGGACAGGGCAGAAGGGGGGGAGGGCTGTGGGAAAGGAGGGGGAAGGAGGATGGGGAGGGGGCTTCCAGGGTGCGGGTGGGCTCAGAGAAGCTCCATCTTGAGTTCATGAGCAAACCCTTGAGTTTTCTAAAAATAGCTCAGCCTTTCCCCCAGCAGGGCTGGCAGCAGGGACCCAGAGAGGCACGCTTGCCCTTTTATGGTAAGAAAAAATCCAGATCCTCAGAGGGGGAGCTGGGTTGGAGCCTGTCATTCTGGATGAAGCCCAGCGTGGGGTCTGGGGTGGAATAGTGCCCAAGGCAGGGGGTGGGGGACTTGCTGGGATATCCTGGCCCGGGCAGCCCCACCCTCTGGGAAGAAACGGCTGAGGGGGGTGTCTGTGGGGGCCACACAGGAAAGCCCCGGGGTCTTGGTGGGTCCCTGGTGTTAGGGTGGAAGGGCTCTGACCCATCTACCCATCTCTCTGTTTTATAGAAGAAACTGAGTCCCGGATAGGGGCAGAGACTGTAGGCTCCCCTGTGGGGGTTTAAGCGATCGAGCTAAACAGATGCCCAGGGCCACACAAGGATGCCCAGGTGCCCGTTGTTCTGGGGGGCAGCGTGGTCAGCGGGAAGAGCACTGGCCTGGGAGGCAGGAGGCCCGCGGCCCACCCCTGGTTTGGTGTGAGACCTGGAGCAATCAGCTGGCCCTCTCTGGTCTCAGCCTCCCTCACTGGAGGGATCTTAAGGGACTTCCCAGCTTCTTGTCTCTCTGGGAATCTCAAAGCTAGAAAGCGAAGCGTGGGCACGGAAGATGCTACTGCTGGGTGGAGGGACCCGGGGGCGGCTGCTTTCCTCCCGTGCCTGGCTCGCTTTCTGCGCGGAGCTGCGTGGGGAAAATGTGAGACGGACCAAGACCGATGGGGGGAGGCCCTGCACGAGACTGGTGGCAGATGATGCACGGAACGCCCTGCTGTCCAGCCGGTTGGGTCCAGCCCCTCACTGGACACGCTGAGGCCCGGGGGGGCTTCACGCTGAAGGTCATGCTCAAGGTCATATGAAGAGCTGGGGCAGAGCCAGGCACAGAACCAAGGGCTTCCCTTCCCAGCCTTGGGCTTTTTCTTTTGCAGGAGGCCCTCCAGCTGCAGCTGCTGACAGCTTTGGGGACCATCTGTGGCCCTGTAAAGGGACTTCCTGTGCACAGCAGCCAGAACTCAAGATGTGCTGTCATCTTCTAACTGCCTCTTGGAGACAGTTATGTCCTGGCTGGGCATTTGCCTCTCCTCTGTCCCCTGCCCTTGGCTGAGAGGGGCATGCTGTAGTCTCCATCTTTGGCTAGGAGGCAGGGAAGAGGCAAAGGATGCAGGCACTCTGCCAGTGTGACCTTGGGCACATGTCTCCCTGTCACTGGGCCTCTATTTCTGCATCTGTAACTTGAGGAGATAGGCCTTCATGTTCTTTAAGGTCCTTTCAGCTCTAAAAGGACGATGGTGCTTCGAGTGTAGGAGTTTACCTACCCAGGTCACCAGGGCGAATGAGACAGACACAGTAGTATCGGGCAGGTCTGCAGTCAGAGTGAGGCAGGCACCCATTGCCCAAGGTCCCGGAAGCCCCATCCTGAGCCCTTTCTGTCTCTATCTAGGGAAGCTCGGGCTGACTCTCTGACTCCAGCTTGAGCTCAGGCGGCTCCGGTCTCCAGCGCCCAGGCGGGCCTGTTGGCCCGGTCAGTGTTCACGGCCACTGCCGCAGGACCCTCCGGGGCCTGGCTGTTTCTGTGGCCTCTCCTTCATCTCCATCCTTTCCCACGTGGCTGTCTCCCTGCCTCCCGGCCCTGTCTGGTGCC